ATCTGCAATTGCATCGTCAATTGGAGCCATAGTTGTTGAGTTATAGCGCGTTGAAGTTATGACGCTGAGACGCGCGTTTGGTGTTCGGCGTGCACGAGATGAATCCGTGCATGAGGTGCACGGACACGGTAAGCGTCATACCATAAGCAGGCTAGAACCCTCTCCAATATCCTGCCCCTCGTGCACCTTAGGCCTTGCATAGCCCTCAGAACTCCCATATTGATTTAGTCACGCCACATCTTAATACCTGCCACTTCTCTCTCTTATCAATCCTTCACAGACCTAGCAAATTGATAACGTTTCGGGCAAAATAATGGCGCGGCATTCACTCAGATGCTTCCAAGCAGCATTCCTCGCTCACTTTGCGGTCTCGGTGGTTATTCGTGCGGAGCAAGACTCCAAACATTTTGCTCTCAACTACACATCAAATTCTGCTTGTAATCTCCCGGTTCCGCTCCCCATACCCAAAGATCCAACTCTGAAGCAGTACGGCAAAGGCACGTTCAGGCAACCTCTACATCACAAAGCACCTGAGCTGGGCAATTTCACAGTCAACTACTACTGGAATAGTACCTTCTGGGCTGGCTCGGGCTCTCCCATCGTTGTCTTCTTACCCGGTGAAGTTAAAGCCGACCGACACTTGGTTTTTTCAAGGCCAGACTTCTCTCTCGTCGGGATAATCCCCGAAAACTTGCGGGCCGCTGTAATCGTGCCGGAACATCGCTATTACGGTGGCAGCTCACTATTTTCTGAACTCACGACTAGCAATCTAAGCTACTTGACAGTCGAAAATGCTCTACTAGACATCGTCAATCTCGCCAATCATTTTGACCCGCCGTGGACTGACGCCTCCAGTACTGCACAAGACGTACCTTGGATTCTCACTGGTGGCAGCTATTCCGGTGCCCAAACAGCTTGGATCGCTAATGTTTTCGGAGGAGTCTTCTAGGCTTACATTGCCTGCTCCCCAATAGTACAGAGTATTACCTCGTATTGGCAATATTACTTACCGCAAGTGGAACATGGCCGACAAGTCTGCACATCTCTGATGGACAGAATTCTAAGTTACATCGACGCGGCCTTCCAAGCTAATGGTACTCAAGTCCAGACAATCAAGAATCTCTTTGGTCTTCCAAATATGGACGATGAAAGCTTCCTGTACGAGATCACTGCGCCTGTCACGTTTTGGTCTCAACAGGACGTGGGAGGTCCTGCTCCGCAGTACAACTGGCTCTGTGATCTGATAGAAGGCGTCGAAATCGACACCCATCTTCTACCGCCAGAGCTCATGGCACTTATAACATCTGGAGGTGCAAAGAAGCGCGGTGAATGGAACTCTCCACATATACAAATGTTGAGGGCTCTTTACAGTTATGCTGGGGGGTTCCGTCAAGAAATTGCACCTGCTCTCTGTTTCAACGGCGCTTTCTGTTCTAGCGAGCTCGATCCCAAGAACTCTATGTATTCGGACACTCGTGTCGACAACAGCGTCAACCGACAATACGCTTGGCTACAGTGCAACGACCTGATTAGCGGTTACATCGTCGGTGCGCCGCAGAATGAGACTTCGTTAGTAAGTCGCCTTACAACAGCAGAGTTTTTTCTCAAACAGTGCGCTCTGTTCTTTCCTGATGGTCCGAATGGAGAAACTTTTGGTGCGAAGAGAGCCCAGACAGCACATACACTCAACGAGTACACAGGTGGCTGGTGGCCTAAAAATGCAACACGCATTATTTATAGCAGTGGCGGCCGTGATGTATGGCGCGAGATGGGTGTTGCAGCTCAGCGGCGACCCGGCGGACCAATGCAAAGTATACCAGATCAGGATGTAGTCGTCCATGTTATCGAGAGTGGATTTCATCACAGCGAGCTAATGACGCGCACTGCGGAGATGCACCTAGAAGTACGTAAAGTGCGAGATCTTGAGGTTGAACAGATATGCAGTTGGGCACAACAATGGCCAGGCTACCGTTAGATGCAGAGGATTCAAGAGCCATGTCCATGATAGAAGTAGAATGTATATCACGATTGATGATCCGTTGGAATTCTTTCAAAGGTGGTCGTCATATCCTGTCACCTATGAACTTTAGCCTTCTGACTTACGCCAGCTATACGTGGCATTCGCTTTTTCGTTTGCAGATTACAATAATCACTGCAAGGCTCTATATATTATTCTCGCCAGGTTTTCGTCAAAATGGGATGACCAGTATGGCTATGCAAGGTCACTTTCATCTACGTTAGCTATGAACCCTGCAACAGAAGGGACCTGTCGATTACACCAGTATCAATACCAAGGTAAGCATGTCCTATGTTTTGTGAGACGTGGCAACAGATCTAGCTGGGTTTTTTTGTGGAGACAGTTTCAAGACACTTATCTACCGGACTTGTCTTTGCAGATGTGAGGTAATTTCGTCGGCTGGTGATTAGACTTTGCGTAATGATGGGTGAACTGATAAACATACGTAGTTGTGGGAAGCGTACTTGGGTTACATTGTTGTATTTTCATGTAATCTTGAACTTCTATAGGACTCATTGCTTCTCTACCACGGCATTGTTGTTATTCTTTGTTGTGGATAATAGCGTAGTCGATCAGTCATTATATGCAGTATCAGGTTCAACCTTGCGTATATCTTTGTAACAAACTAACTACCGCTTCGTGTCCTTCGTGTGCTGCCCACAGCAGCGGCATCCATCCATGCTTGTCCTTAGTATTAGCATCAACTTTTCCTGTGTCTAGCAGCTGCTTAACTACTGCTTCATGTCCGCTATATGCTGCCCACAACAATGTTGTCCATCCATTATTGTCGTCAGCATCAGCATTGACTTTGTCTGTGTCTAGCAGCTGTCTAACTACCACTTCGCATCCATTAGATACTGCCCACAATAGCGGTGTCCATCCATTGTTGTCCTTAGCATCGGCATTGACTTTGCCTGTGTCTAACAGCTGCTGGACTATCACGCTGTTTCCATTCCTTGCCGCATGCAAAAGCGGCGTGGATCCGCTGTTGTCCTTCGAATCAGGGTCAACCTTCCCTGTGTCTAGCAGCTGCTTAACTACCTCTTCATGTTTCCTTTCTACCGCCCACCACAGTGCTGTTCGTTCACAGTCGTCTGGCATGTCGGGATCTACCAAGTTACGTTGTAGAATAGTTTCAATATAAATAGCCAATCCGTCTCGTGCAGATTCGAGAAATAGGTCTTGCAAGACGTTGTTGGGGTCGAGAATTCTCCTTCTTGCAGTAAAAGTTTCATGATCTCTGGTTCACTCGAAAACGCTTCATCCAAAGCTGTTGAACCATAGGCGTCTTCCATCTCTACCAATGATGGCGCTCTCGAGAGCAAAATTCGAACAATTTCTTTGTGACGGTTTCTTGTTGCGATCATTAAAGGACATTCTCCAAGATCATTCTGTAAAGCTACCGGTGCACCATGTTGCAAGAGCATCTCGACCACGTCAGTGAGACCTCTCCTAGAAACTAATTCAAGTGCATCGGTATCATAATCGCTAATATCTTCATCGTCAGTGTCGTAGTCGTCTTGCCTCTCAGGACGAATATCCAATTCTGATGATCTAGCTGTGTTGGCCCCGGCGCTGAGTAGCTGAAAGATCATGCCTTCTAAAACGGAGTCTTGCAAAGGCGGCTGTTCTTTGAGTGCGAAGAATACGGCACCATCGAGCTTGACTTTCTTTTCAATCAGTATCGAGAGAAGTTTCATATCCCCATGGCTGATAACATGAGCTATTAATGCGGCCTGCCGCCCTAAGTGTTCGGGGCTAGCACCTGCTTCGACGAGTTTGAAAACGACCCCACGCATGTTGTACTCTAGAGCAAAATCGAGTGCTGTTTCACCGTTGTTGTTCTGTGCGTTGATGACGGTAGCACATGCCACTGAAAGGGGCGTGACACCGCAATCTTTGTTGGCATTATGCTGTCTCTGCTGGCCTTCGCAGTCCATTATTCGATCTAGCAGCACTAAAGCGATGTCCTGGTAGCCCTTTGTGATGGCGAGCATCAATGAAGTATCTCCGTCAGCGTCCCTGCCTTCGAACTCTTTGAAACCTGAGTCTAGCAGTGTATCGACCGCACTCATAGATCCAAAGGACACAGAGACATGCAAGGCCGTTGCTTGAATGAATGGCCACCCGAAAGGTTTGTATCGGCTATCTGGATCGAGAGCTCTCCATAGAGTGGCAAGCCTGCGCATAATCTCAGAGTTCGGCGTCCATTGCATTACGGAAATCAAGTCAGATTGGTGGACGCCTTCTTTTTCTACTTCCGTAATGTGCGTAAACAAGAACCGTACGGCGTACGGTGCTAACGGAGACTTAGATGAGACAACACCTCTTGGTAGGGTAGCATCCTCTAGTATATCTTCCAAAATCATGTATCGAAGACAAGACCTTGATATCTGTAGTTGACTAGATCCTATGAAAGAGTGTGCTGCAGTTAAATGATTGCCAAAGAGACCGGAAAACTCTTCTTTCAGGAAATCGGCCACCGACTGATCGATGAGTTGAGCCTCGCGATCTGAGTCTGGTCCATTGAGTTCATATTGCTCCCATAGTTCGCGGCTTTGGAAGCAGATTAGACCTCTGGAGATGTGCTTGACGTATCTCTCGAAATCGACCAAAGTGTCGGACCAACCTTCATGAGTTCGAAGATCGCGGGCAGTCCTATAACTCATGTTCTTATCGGTAGCAAGCGCATCCCGAAGCTCTTGGGCAGACAAGGGTCTTTCGGCGAAGAGTACCCACTGGAAGACCTTTATCATTTGATGCTGGTCCGCTGCTGGAACTCCATTGAGAATTGTTTCGTACATTTTGCTCAGTGTTTTCGGGCAGGTGGCGATTTTTTCGAGGAGTTTCTCTGCTTTGATGCCATTCAAGTTCTTGTCAACTATGCCCCTGGTCACAAGAAACACCCATTGAAATCCACCATTGGATTTAGATAGAATCTCAGCCTGGATCTGCTCACGCTTTGTCTCTGACGTAATGTCTTTCAACCGCTCCCGGACATACCATCGTATATCCTGATCATTCATTTTCTCCACTTGTATCGAGGGTATGGTGTCAAGCGCAAGGATCGGGTAGTGTCTTGAGGACAGACATATTCTGAATCGCGCATGCTTGCTTTTTGCCTGGTGAATAAGGTCTCTGAAATACGCTAGCAAGCTCTTTGCGGGGTCTTCTCCGCATTCGTCAAGTGCATCGATAAAAACGACGACATGCCGATGGTGAGTAGCCTCTGATAGTATGTTGGACAAGGCTTCCTTGAGTTCGTTCTCAGCCCATTCCCATGCATCTCTGCCGTAACGTTTCTCTTTCTCTGCACACTCAGCAGCTAGCTAAGTAAGGTGTTCTGGAAAGTGTTCGAGCATTGAGCTCAACAGCGCGCGGAATAACCCCAATGATGTCTTCTGCAAGGGCTTCCCTTGGCCATGGAAGAAGAAAGAAACAACAAGGTTGTCAGGGCTGCGCTCACGCATTCGCTTAACGTAATGTTTCATAAGCACAGACTTGCCCGCGCCAGGGTCTCCCTTGATCCAAAAGAGTCCCAAATCTCCCTCCATTCAGGTTTGGTACTCTGCATGTTCAAAAATCCATTCGCAGGTGTCTACGGCAGTATGAATATCATGGAACCGATGTTCTTGCTCCGGAAAAGAGAGTGATCTCAGGCAATCTGAACCAAGTCAGTAAGCTATTAGATGGCTGACGCAAGGTTTGCTTACCGCGCTGCTCAGATGAGAGTGATACTGACGCGGTAAATTTCTGCTGGCTTTGGTTGTTAGCAGAGTACTGCAATTGGAGTGAAGGAATAGCAAGGTTTACTCACTCTGTGGTGCCAGTCTCTAAGTCCTCTGTCCCGTCGACCTTCCTACGTTTGGCATCAGGACTACGAGAGCGTTCAGAGTTGCGTTCTTTAAGCGCATGGACATTAGCACTATCCAGCTATCAATCAAATGAAGTAAAAAAATGCTACTAACTTTTGGATTGTGTAGCATCTTCCGCTGTGCGCAACTCGGACACCTCTGCCTGCGGAATTGTCAACAGCACTTCCTTGGCGTACGCGGCCGCCGTCGCCGCTGCATATGGCTGCCACCACTTATTCTTGTGCGAGTCTGCGTAGTCGCAGATACCGCGGATAGCTAGACACGGGAAGCTATTCATCAGCCCTGTCGCCTCCATCTCAAAGCACAGTACTCCGCCAAGCTCTGTGCTAACCCTATCTCTCTCTATAGCGCTCCGCATCACCTGGTTACCAGACGCGATAGTTCCATAGTGTACCGCGACTTTCTTCCTAGCGTCACGAGTACGTCGAGTGATTTGTCTGCTAAGGTCCCACCCGTCGCATGTCTGCCCTTTTCCTCGATCGTCGGCTTCATGATCGTATGCTGCTTCGAACAGCACGTCGGGCCCAGCCTCACTACGCTGAAACTCAGCAATGCTCCCCTCTAGCTTAGCAACGTGCTCAGATAACTTGCTTCTGCCGCGCACCTCGTTCGCCCTCACTCGCACAAGAGCTGCCAACAGCAGCTTCGGAGGCGCGTTTAGCGACCCTGTACGCTCGAAACCGCTCGGTGTATTTTTGCCAATGTCGTACTGTACCACTCCAGCAAATATCCCATGGGGCTGGCTAGCCACTACGTCCCCTAGCCGGATGTCTGCTGCACTTGGGACGCCGCCGCCAATGCCTACCATCAGCCCAAACTGGATCTTCTTGAACGTCGCTCGCATCTGCATTGCCACCGCAGCCGCTGGGTTATTGCCAATCTGGCCAGCGGGCAGACACACAATGACGACATTGTGGCCGCCAATCGAGCCTAGTGCATAGAGGTTCTCGTCGTTGTCGGACGCGTCGTGCTTGAGGTCGAGGTGTTCTTCATCGAGCATCTCCTGCGCAGCCGCCAGTTCAATGGGCAGGGCACACACCCATCCTACTGTATAGTCTTCGCGACGCAGCTGGCGCGGCATATGCAAGTGTCAGAGGGAAGAAAACAAAAGAGAATTTGTAGATGAGGGATGAGAGTGGAGGTGTCAAGGTGTAGCATGGTGCTGGGTAACCTAACAGTCATGCTTGGTGCCGCTCAGCTGAGTTCTACTCAGCCTTGTTGCCTGCCCTTTAGCTGCCCGCCTGTTGCCAGCTGCCACGCTATGCATGCCGTGCGAGGGGTTAACTCTTCAGCTGAGCGCACGGCCGCAAGAGCTGGTTCAAGGTTCCAGCTGCTAATCAAATCCCCTGGTAGCCTGTCTGATACAGCGGGCGCCAGCGGGCCGTCAATTGGTCTCACGCACTACTACTAATATGCAGGCTAAGGCGCTAGGTCGGCAGCACGTCTGGACGATTAATTAACACCTGCAAACTGGGAATAAGGCCTGGCCTTGGAAAACAGAGACGACTGTTTTCTAGAAGAGATCATCGACCTCCAAGCTGGTTGAGCGCAAACGATCACGGTATTCGAATGGATAGACCGCGTAAGTGAACGTTGTTATAGCATAAATACTCTATCAGCTTCTGAGGTTCTAAGCACCCTCACATCACGGTAAGGCAGTTCTTCATTCAAGAACTTCTCATCTAATAATTTCATATTGCTTACTGAGTACGCGTTGGTTGATGAAGGTGATACATCTTTAGAAATGGATGAATACGTTGCTTTAGCCATTGCACCCTGGTAACCGAAACGAACCCTAATTCTTGTCAGGGTCTAATAGGATTTCGGATGACAGGTGGGGGTCATCTATGATCGGCGGAGTGCTATCAGCCAATCACATCTCCTGTGTTAGAGGCAAGGCCGCCGTGCATCACTAACCCGCTTCCGTACTGTCTATTGTTTTGCACTGAATAGTTTGCCATCCACCCATTACTAACAAACGAACTCTTCCTCCCTGACTACATCCCTATTCAATATTTTCATGCAATATTCATGGACGACTATTCAGTATCTGCTTTTTGGTTTTTCACGATTATCAAGAATGAAAGTAAGCGCTCGCACGAGCAGTCGCTTATGGTAGTAAGCTTCTATTATCGCGCTTACAGCCAATCTTCAGATACAAAAGAAGGGATCTCAGTATTTACTTGGTTGTTCATGTTGCCAAGATCAACAATTGACTGCAGTGGAAGGGGGCGCATGCAGTCGCGCGATTAGAGTCCGTAACATAAACTCTACTGCTAATCAATTCACTGCATAGAATGGTAGGGTGGGACACATGCTCATGTACAATACCTACTGAAACTTATTTTCATTCCTAAATACTCGAGACAAATTACAGTGAACATAAAGGTCATTGGCGTGCAACATGTGAACCAGAACATGACCTTGGCATGATGCATCAGCAAACTATCTGATATCTCCCAGTCGACATCGATACCCTAGCAGATTGGATGTGCATATACAAGATGTGCGTAGTTCTTTCATTTTCCAATTCGGGGTTATCAATATGAAGACGCCAGACCTCCTGTAAGTGGCACAGGTCCCATGGAATAAAGGATGAGGATATGGCAGCAAGAGCACTTTAGTGTCCTATCAGATCTGACAAAGCTGATAACTATCAACGCGTTGTGAGTCCAGATTTTTTAGATGGCTTCGGATTTCGGCTTTGTTGATCTCATCTTCATTTTTGAGACGCAAGGCCTGGCTGAGATGCTGATACCATTGTGTGACCGTCGAAGGTACTTGAGCGGCCAAACAAGAAAAGCTACAGTTTGTTACATCAATCATGAAATGGATCCTCTTCCGTAGCCGTTCCGGAGCCAAAAGGCTCGAAAAAGAAGCGGACTGCTCACGGTCCGTCTTACAAGAATTTGAAAGGAAGTTCAATTAGGTGACCGTTGGAAGCTATTAGTAAATGATACCAATGTTGCGGCTATTCCTGAGGAATCAGTGGATTGATTGGATCGACAATGGGGACCTGACGCTCCTATACAAGGACGGAACTTTCTATACCCTCTACTTGTCGGATGGATGGTCTATGGATGTTTGATATCTATGCTCGATTAACCTTGCGTTGAAACTATCACATTTTGGGACTGTGCTGTTTCCTAGTGGACACACCGAGGTTCATGCCCTATAGGACTGCATTCATCCTACCCGGCCACGGGTATCACCGATCACTAACCTGACATACCATGCTGGATATATCTCAAATTTACAAACTCTGAGTTTATATTTAGAGATTACAGCCAAATATCTGGGTACAGTAGATTTAAGTGATTGGAACGTTCCTGGTCTTAAAACGACTATCCTGGAAGCCTACGTTAAAGTTTCAGGAACTCGCACTTGCGAACCAGTGACTGGATTGGGAGTGTCAGAACAATTAAATAGTCTTTCAAGTTATTTTGTGTTGTAGGTTGAGATGCAGGCGCAGCTCAACTGGCCACTGCTGCTACCTAATAGGACATGTTGCATTAATTTAGCACGCCAGAAGGTCTCTTTGCTACCATGCACTAATACACAGGATAGTTTCTGGAAACCTAGATGCTTAACACAGCTTGTAAAATCCAAGTGGTCGTTACCTCCACTGTCAACGTTTCTGTTAGTAGCTTTTGTTCCATTGCACTAGTGCATTGCTACCCTATTTTTAGCACTTTCAATTCGGCTTCGATAGATCCGACGGTCCGTTCGGTGAAACGCATTCTCATCCGATTATCTAGTGAGTGAACTGCGCGGCTGATCTCGTACCCCTTTTTCTTCTTGTATACCATTAAATCCCTTCTTGATAGAGTCAAATCGAACATTCATCAGGATTAGCACGAAGCGCACCTCCAACATGGTGAGGTCTTGCGCGCTGCAATTCCGTAGTCTCCACCCAAAGGGAAAGATGAAATATATTCCCCATCATCCGTAAATCCCCTCTGGCATGATGGTCACTAGCTTCATTGATGCCCTCTGTGTTTTCAAGGAACCGGCTAAGACGGAAGCTTTCCGCACTAGGATCCCAATGCTTCGCGCCAAGTATGCTTGTTGACTCGGAGCGTCAAGAAAGAAAAGCAGGGAAAGCCTGACGAACAAAACGATGCCGCGCCGGGAAACACAGATTATTGAGCGCGTTTCGGCCGATTTCTTTTGTCCTGTACTAGTCTGGGGTGAGCCTGGATCGTAGACTTACTATGTACATCTATACGCGACTCTGTTCAAGATAGAGCGGTGATCCAATACGAAGATTATCTGATCTACTGTGACTAAAAGCCTTCTTCTTCGACAAGTGGCTTAAATGATAGCATTAGAACCCTACCTATATGACCAAGAGATCACAGTTGTATGACTCAATATGTTTTTTCTCGTGCTTCGCAATAGCCTATAGCCACCACTAACAAGCGTGCGGATAGCCAGAAGAAGCGATTATGTGCATATAACGGTCACTAGCCGACGAGATGAACAACGTACTGTATTATCCTCGGGTTCGCGGCATTGTAACTCCCGAAGGACATTAGTAAGGCACTATATGTTACAGGAGCCAATAACCGTGTGGCGGTGTGGTTACTGGCTCGGCCGAGGCATTGTGATGGTTGCAAGGTTGCATACTTACTAGTAGATAGTATACGACTAACACATCTTTGATTTGACACATGACACGAATAGGACCGCTTTCATTCAATGATTGCAAACTCACAAAGAGAGATGGGACTGTAGTTACACTGTTACAAAGAGTATAAAAATGGAACTTGGCTTTGGGCCGCGGGAATAATTATGCGATCATAGGCGAAAATGCGGCTGAGTTCCGTGTGGGGGAAAGAGGGGCGATTTCGGTTAAACAACACGGGGCATGTCTCCTTCTACCGAACATGTACGGAATACTATTCTATGGGATTTGCGAGTTGCGGGGCTAATTTAATGCAGGAGACTTCATCTGGCACGGCCCCAGTAATCCTGCCTACAACGTGCCCCAATAGTACGTGAACGCGCTCTATGAATTTGCAATGCAAGCGTATACTTGCCTAGGGCCCCCGGTAAAGAAAACACGCCTTACGCCCTAAAGCACCCATGTGCGGGGTTAAATGCTCAATATCTCCGTGTTAAGCCACCGACGATACGGGCATAGACGTGATTGCACACCCCTGGCTCGTACTTGGCTGCTAGTGATCTAGCCGCATTCCATCTTGTGCCTCTTAAGCAATCATGCTGCTGTTTGTACGCGTACGTTTGTGCCAGCTATTTGCTTTGCTTGTTCTCTGGCACAGATACAAACAGTTGAAAGGCATATACATCTCACTCCCGCTGATTTAACTACTAGTTACCTCTGAGTGTTCTCTACCAGCCTTTTTTATTTCCGAAACGACGAGCTGCACGATACCGTCTAAGCATCAAATGATAGCATCTTGACTCAAACGCAAGGCCCCTTCTATCTTTCACACATCGACACCATGTCCGAACGAGGGCCGTCAGCACTCGATCGACACCCCACAAGAAGCGAGATCATCGAGCAAGCAGTAGCCGAAGGCCACGATGCAGATATCCCAACCAACCTTGGCTCAATACACCAAGTCCCAACTCACCTTTCCGACAACGCAACCCGGAAACACACGGCCAAAGACGAATACGAAACAGGCGAGAAAGATGTCGAAAAGGGCACCACCAATTCAATATCCAGCGACGACGACACAAAAGCAGACGATGACCACGACCCCAACATTGTCGATTTCGACGGCCCAGATGACCCAGAGAACCCGATGAACTGGACAGCCTTCAAGAAGTGGGGCACGATATCTCTCGTCGCTGCAATCACCTTCCTCACACCCCTCGCGAGCTCGCAGTTTGCACCCGGTGTACCCGACGTCATGCGCGAGTTCCACTCGACTAGCAGCCTGCTCGCAAGCTTCATGGTGTCAGTGTACGTGCTTGGCTACGCAAGTGGGCCCATGATTATCGCGCCACTATCTGAAATGTACGGGCGATTGCCACTATATCACATTTGCAACTTCTTATTTATCATTTTCACGATTGCGGCGGCTGTAGCGACAAACATGACGCAGTTTATTGTGTTTCGTTTCTTCATGGGCTGTTTTGGGGGGGCACCCATGGTGCTTGGGGGTGGCACGATTGCGGATTTAATTCCGAGAGAGCAGAGGGGCACAGCCATGTCGGTGTGGATTATGGGGCCTAGTAAGTTAATGTGATCATTCAGGTATGGAAGTGTGGTTAATGCGTTTTGATGTAGCCATTGGACCTTGCGTCGGTCCTGTGATCGGTGGCTTTCTTACAGTTGCAAAAGGGTGGAGATGGAACTTTTGGTTTGTGGCTATACTGGTAAGCTTCGCATCACGATATCCAACGAGTTTGACTGACTTGACCTTCAGGGTGCCGCGTTCTTCATTATGTCACTTATCCTCATGTCAGAAACGTCCGCCGTCACCATCCTCCAGCGCAAAGTCAACCGTCTCAAAGCCTCAACCGGCAACTCTAAACTGCGCTCCAAACTCGACACAGGGCTTACTACCCAACAGCTCTTCCGATACTCGATTGTCCGCCCGGCTAAAATGCTATTTTGTTCGACAATTTGCTTTTCTATTTCCCTTTACATCGCCATCACATACTCCTACCTCTACATCCTCTTCACCACCTTCTCAAGTGTCTTTGGGGGGCAATACGGATGGAAGGGTGGGATAAGTGGTCTGTCGTTCCTAGGTCTCGGTATCGGCTCAGTCATTGGACAATTGGTATATATTCACTATGGCAACAAGATCGTCGACAAGCACATCAAACGCGGCGACTTTTGCCCTGAGCATCGCCTATACATGATGTGTATTGGCGGCATCATTCTCCCCTTTGGCCTGTTCATTTACGGCTGGAGCGCCCAGTATAAGACGCACTTTATGGTCCCCGAAGTTGCAACAGGCTTGATTGGATTTGGCCTTTTAATGTCCTTCATGCCCGCGACCACGTACCTGGTTGATGTGTTTACGGTGCATGCGGCGAGTGCCATGGCAGCAAGCACTGTACTGAGGAGTCTGGCTGCAGCGTTCATTCCACTAAGCAGTCGGACAATGTACGAGAAGATGGGGTATGGATGGGGAAATAGCATGTTGGGGTTCATATCATTGGTAATGGTGCCGATGCCCTTTTTTTTCATCAAGTTTGGGGAGAGGATTCGGGCGAGAAGTGTAGTCAAGTTGTAAGGTGAGGAGGGTAGAATTGCATTTCTTCGTGATTGAAAGACCGCTGGGATCGGTCGTAGTATGCGGCTAGAGCCGTGACGATGATTGGTACACATGTATAAACATCATAGCAGGGTATAGTCAGTAAAACGTGTCTACGTACTTAAATATACAAATTAGGAAGCTATTCCAATACGAGTAATCATAGAGTTTGTGCGCCATCTAGAGCGAGGCAAAAGAGAAAGAAAGCACTCAGCCAGAGCAGCATGGTCTAAACCACATTAATGCGCGAAAGACAGTGCTATTTGTACATGCGTGGTTCAACTCTCAAGACATGGATAGAAATGCAAAAAGAAAAAAAGGAACGATGCGGAGGAGATTCGAACTCCTGCGGCCGAAGCCATATGATATCTAGTGAATTCGAGTCATACCCATTAACCACTCTGGCACCGCACCTGAATGCTGTGGTGATTGATGAAAATTTTCGTTTTCAAATAAAATCTATAGTGCAACAAAATGCCGGAGTGAAGTGAGGTATGTGTGATGTGGGGCAGGGCCACTCCCATCCATTTCGCCAACATAGGTTGTGGAACATCAGGTACTAGCATGAAATCGCAGTCTTTGCACGGGAAAATAAAGCAATTGTTTAATTCCTCACGGGTATCAAATAGACGACGGTGTTGTGGCTGGAGATCCACAAAATAATCATGAATGCTTTGATTTACAGTACACATATTTTGTTTACTGAATGACAATTCTAAACTCTATTCCACACAGGATATAAATATCATCAAACCCATTTCTTTATTACTCCCAAACTCCCGCTCATTGAATAGGGTCTCACTGCCAAAACTTTGCAACATCCTCAATCCTCAGACACTCTGCCTCTTTATGCACTCTCCTCGCAGAAGCAGCGTCCTGTCGCGCCGGCTCAGAAGCTTGTATTCCCCAGCGCGCAAGTTCTTCGGGACTCTCTGTCCATTCCTCTTCACTGCAGACCTTAGGTTGCGAAACAGCAGATTCTTGAACGTGTTGTTGTTGCGTTCCTTGTGTTTGGCAATGCTCGGTGTACTCATAGAGCGTGTGCCGTTGAGCGCGGCAATGACCAATGGTATGGTCGTGTTGGTTTGTTGGTACAGCTGCGATGATTGTGGTAGCCGTCATGTTTGGCGTTATATTTGCTGGTATCTCCTATTGTGGTTGAGATGCAAGCTTTAATGTGTGTATGTGTAATGTAGATGTAATTGGTGATGTTTGTTGTGATGATGGGAACGAAAGTGGCAGGTACTCGAAGCCTTTTATACGAATGGTTAGCGGACGAAGTCATGCAATCACGGAGCGTGGACGGGAACTTGTGCGACGACAAGGTGACAAGTGCAGAAGACGCGACAATGTGTGGCGTTATTGCATTGCATTGGGTAAGCTAAGTTTGGTGATGGTGGTGAGATTGGGAAGTGGCGCCACCTTCGCCACGTGAGCGAGAAGCAGCGCTACCAACGCAGCCAAAGACAGAATGCCACAGAACTATGGAGATAGAAAAATAAGTCGAAATCATGGTATAAAGCACACACAAATGGGTATCCTAAGCTCAAGCCAGCTCGACTGAAATACGAGGAAAAAGTTCAAGGAAATCGGTAAAAGGAATTACGGCTTCAACAGTCACCGGCACGCGAAGACTCTGATACTGGCGGCGAGGGAGGGTGCGAGGTATCCAGATATGTCCTCTTCGCATCCGGCAGCTCATCCGTTTCCGCTTCTGTGCGTGCGCGCTTGTGTAACGCATTGGCTGATTCGACGTTTATGTGCGGTAGTGTGGATTGGTTGATCTGGCGCTGTGACCGTTTTGCTTCCTTTTTCTTAGCCACAGCCTTCTTCCACTGTGCCACGACGCGCACGACGGAAGCAACGCGCTCGAAATGCGACATGGGAGGTGCAGATTCCATGTCCACCCACTCAATCTTCCTTAGACCCATTAAAGCCTTATTGGCAAAGGATTTGGAGAGGGCTTTGGTCATAAACTCAATTTGCTGCTGATTTAGGACTGGATCTCGGAGACCAAAACGTAGGGTTAAGTAACCCCTTGGCCTGGTCCGCCAACTAGGCAATTGCAAGGCATGAGCTTTCGCAAGTTTCAGAGGTGCCAGAAAGATATGTTGTTCGCTGTAGTGAACGCTCTTGCCACGCGACCATATCTGGGACGGAGTATCCTTGCGGCGGGGGTCCATGTTGATACGCTGATACAGACGAAACGTAGATATCGGGCCCTCGCCGTCCTTGTCCAGAAGCTCCTTGAGAGCATCAATGAGCGCGCGGGTATACGAGTTCTTGCCAGGAGCTTCAGTCGTCTGGTCGATTGCACATGCGCTGAGGAGCTCAAATCGCCTGTGGCCATCCTTGGAAGACTTGACGAAATTGCTCGAGTAGCAGGTATCCAGAATGGTCAGGACATCTCCCTCGACATCCTCATGCCTGAGGAGGTCTTCTGCCTTGTTCCAAGTTGCGCGGGCGGTCGTGCGGAATCCTCTGTCCTGGAGCAGAGCGTTATTACGGAGACTGCCCGTAAGTTCGAGGCAGTGTTTCTGGTCGTTGAAGACGCCATGGCCGGTATAATATACAATCAAGAGGTTGTCTGGTCCGTCGTTATTGCAGATGAAATCGCTGACATAGCTGTCTAGCTGGTGCTGTGGCTTCTTTACGACATTGAGTTCGACGATGCTGGTGGCGTAGTTGAATCGTTCACGGAACAGAGAGCCGAGTTCCCTTGCCTAGAAAAGTCAGACGGTGACGTACGCCAACACGTGTTTCACACCAACTCACCTCTTCGCCCGTCTTGAGCTCGTCAAGGTCATCCGCCCACTTGATGATCAGCACCGCGACATGCGAGTACCCCTCCGGCAGGTCCATATTCCGTGCAATGGCCTCAGCCCACCAGTTCTGCATCTCTGCGGCTCTTTCTTGGTATTGAGCATCTGCTGCGCTTGAGGCGCTTTCGGGCATGCGCCCATCGCTCTGCTGAACCGGTCCATCTTGGGATGGCTCTTCGTCAATCGATTGTATCCGTATGTCGGCATGGATGACTTTGTTTGGATATGGGTTCACGACGCGAGGAGCCGCCTCCGCTACCATTGTTTGCACGACGTGCGCGCCAGTGTCTGAGGAGAGAGCCATGAATCAAGAGGACAGCGGGGTTGCTGCAGAGGGTGAGGTTTGCAGCAACCAGCCATGATTAAGAAAGCGTTCGCAGTGGCTTTTAGCCCCCATATTGGCGGGACATGCACGACAGGCGCGAGCGGGGAGATGTGGTAGATGCGAGGGCCAGCCTGCCAATCAACGCCGGGCCAATTTCCGCTTGGGGGCCGCACACGGAGCCTCCATTGTCTATTTTCGACCATCGTCTTACCGGAATCATCGGTGCCGTGTGCGAACGCTGCTCATGGCAAACCGCACATGGGAATGTTGGCTTACTCAATCAATGTGCGCCTCCAGCGCGAGCTGATAAGTAAACGGTGTTGCTCGGACAAGGCACAATCGGTGCCGACGCAGCGGCTGTGCAAGCACACATTTGGGCCCCCATCTGTAATCATACCAGTCACAAACCTGTGCTGCCTAGGGCTGCAGCAATCGTCCTTCTGAGAGGCCAGCAATAAGGCCTTGTATATTAACACCTGATTTCTCTCCCCAAGGGCATCGTCCACAAGGCTATTCTGCCTCACCTCTCGCATCTCCCCAGGCCATGGCAACCACCACACTCGGCACGCAGCACATGCAGCCTACTGAAGACATTCACGCAGCTGACAGTCAGCCACACGAGGACTTCCTGGCCTCACAGCCGGAATATGAAATTCCAGACACCAAATCCGGCGTGCGCGTGGATCCCGATGCCGCAATGGTAAGCTCGGGGTTCTTCATTACACATGCAATGCCGTCTCACAATGCCTTAGGCAAGCGCGCGCTTCAAGAAAGGTGATGTCGTCCACAAGCCAGTCTTCGTCAACGGTTTGCGTAGCAAGGGCGTCTTCACAATCTACGACCGCAGGCCCAATCCCGCGGGCTATGTCGAGTACAAGCTCAAGAATGTCTACGACATGAGGGTCGAATCTGGGTGGACTCGCGAGAAGGAACTGAAGCCTGGTAACTAAGCATTGTCACCTCACCTTGCCATGTGGCTCAGCTCACCGGTAGCTGCCAGGCAGCTGAAATCAAGGCGGGTGCAACCAATCGCACATGAGGCGTTAGGGGCGTTCGGGGGCTGAGCTTTATTGAGGGGACAACAATCCCCGTCCAAAGTCATGTCTGATGGCTATGCAATGTCTGTTCCGCCACACTTTTACGAGCCACATTTGTTCTTAATGTCTGTCTGACCATTTCCTGAATCTGCGCAAAACTTTTCATCCTCTCTCCTATTGCATCTTCGGTGACGTGAAGAGTTGCGCTCCCTCTCAGGCCCACAATGACCCCTCCTCGAACCATGACGGGAGACACCTACGTCGAAAAGGCCCCCGAATCCCCAGCATCACAAACAAACACAGATGCGACTTTAGCTGAGGAGTTTGTCGAAACCGCCGACGACACCCACTCCACGATCCATCCGTCCGTGCGGACAGATTCAATTGATATTGAGAGTGCACAGCCTCGTACGTGTTCCCACCCGCCCATTTGGCCCCCAAAGTCTGCCTGCCGGTCTTGGCTCAACGCCCCGTCTCGTCATGCAGCCAGCCATCGCATGTGGAAACGCCTTGCCATCAGCACACATGTGCATCATGGCTCGGAGATTCAGGACTGAATGCATCGAGACGCCACATGCGCTTCGTGGAAAGCAAATAAACTAATGTTCGGATAGAAGGGAAGGAAAAGCGCCCCAAATTGCTCCAACGGATAACGGTGCCTTTCCGTTCGGCACCTGAACCGGAATATGTGACTGAAAATAGAACGCGCAAGTGTATGCAGTACCATTTCCTTAGATCGCTCATTTCTCACAATTGGCAGTGGAGGAAACCCCCAATGGATTTCCCAGACTTGCTGCATTCCAAGCGAGCGAACCAAATTTCTCCCTATACCGCTCTTTCAGCTACCTACATTCACGTGTCCTGCTTGACCTGCAGGATCAGATCACTTGTCTAGAGAAAGAGCTGGACGAAATTGATTGGGAAGATCATGACGAAGATGCCGACCGCTTGAAATCGAGAGACTATGATGTCCAGCAGCCTTATGGAGAAGGGGAGCCACGTACCCGTCGAGTTATACTTCGTGAGATCCAGTCAAAGCTATTAGAGTATGGTAAGTATCGAACGATCCAAAGTGGAATTGAATTCCAAGGCTGACAATCACCTCTAGACGAGGTACTCATTAAGGCAAGGACACTAGAGTCGTTTCAGAGACCTTCAGACCGCAACTACCGCAGCGTCCGGCGCTATTGCCACAATCAAAAACCCCTTATGGACGCTGAAATGGACTCTATCCGCACCAAGGAAGACATTGTCTCTCTACACAACGGCCGCGAATGGGCTACTTTCGACGGTGGCGTAGAGACAGTAATTGGCCAAATCGACCGCCTCCTGCAAAAGGTCTTCCGAACAGAGTCTTTGCCACTCCAGGTAATTACTCGTCCTTGTGTGGCAAACTCCGTCACATGGTGCTGACTGCTGCTGCTTAGAAATACTTCCGCACGCCAGAGGCGCAAGAAAAAACAACAAATCCCTACGTCTCCTTCTACAGCAGCTCCCGCATAGACAAACTCGTCAACGTACTCATTACCGTGGTTATCTTTTGTCTTCTCGTCGTCCCTGTAGTCACCATGTACCAGCTCACAAGTACCGCTACACATGCTGAGCCCAGCCCTGCCGACAAGAACGCTACTGCTGCTGTGGATATAGATAAGAGGGACACTTTCAATGCGGTTGGCGTTTTAATTGTTTTCACATTACTTTTCAGTGCTGCTATGAGCTTACTCACAAAAGCGGCCAGACACGAGTTGTTTGCGGCGTCTGCAGCTTATTGTGCCATCTTGGTTGTATTCATAGGGAATTTTACGGGGCCTGGGAATTGATAAGCGTGTAATGGTAATGATTAATGATAACGAGTTACGATTGAAAACACTTATTGGTGGCCGGTGAACGTCAGCCTGGTAGTGAGGAAGAGGATCAGTCCCAACATGCCTTTTGCTACTCCCGCAGAGTTGGCAAATGTTCCTCTTACCTCGAATTCAAGAGCTTCGTGATGAGCCCGTTCTTTTGCTTGGTGTTCTACATCGCATACATGTGTCAAGGCCTTATTGGTGGATTAGGATAGCTGGAGGTAAACGGTACCTACTACAACAACCTAATAACTCATTAACACCAATACCATGCACCTTTTGGCTATTCAAAATTAGTCGATACATACATTCGTACTTTTGTGGGTGTCATGAACCTTTCACGTGATTCTTCACACTGTTTGTGATTATCTTAGGTGCAATATGGGCTACTATCAAACCAAATTTTCGTCCGGCTATTTCAGTTTACTCAAGAGACCAGATATATGATGTACGGACTACTCAATTGAAACGATTTTGACAAGGCCAAACAATTCTTTTCAAATTCCTTCGATGCTACGGTTAATTCTCAGCGGGCACTCGACTGCCACGTAGCCCACTGATAAAGCATATCACCTTGGTGAATATTCTGTCCTTCACTCAGCTGCTCAACAGACCTGCCAGATCCATTGTTGTAAGTTTTAATCCCCTGCCTGTTTTTGCTGCTTTCTTGGTTCCGACATTGCGCCTTAGCACAGGCCAAATTTCTTTAGATGCCGCACGGATGTCAGACTAAATAAGATAGATGAGCACAGGAAATACAAGAAAGGACCAACCGAGGGTTAATACTATTGTGTTTCACAATCAAGAATGTTAGTGAACCCTGTTCGGTTCACTCTCACAACCGTTTCTATGGTGAGTCAAAACAAGGGCTTTGAAGACGACTTCATGGGTCTCAGACACCCCGGAAGCAACCGGAAAGTCTGACCACGAATACTTGTATGCCGCCCGTAAGCAGAGACGCGATTCATGCTTAAAGTTTGAACCATAAGGTATTAAATGATCCCTTTGTGTGATACTCGTTCTCTCTTCTATATTCCCACCCAGCTGCTCTTGTAAACTAATGTAGTCTGAATAACAATTATACAATAAGGCCTAACTACATATCACTTTGAGTAGATGCGTTTTTCAACTACACACCAGTATCATTCTCCCATTATCGGAAGTTCTCGGAAATCTTACCATGTCATTCCTTCTCAACTACGTCTTCGGACAACAACAACATGGTCCAGAGCGCATACCAACGGATATAGTCATACCGCTAAATAGCCGGGATGATAGGATGGAACACAGGAACATTGCATTAGAACTCACTATGCGCTTCGACGATGTTCTCGATGCCCAAAGACTCGCGGATGCACTTTGGAAGTTGCTCGAGAAGCCCCGTTGGAGAAAATTGGGAGCACGACTACGCTTGAACAACGAAACTGGACGACTTGAGAACCACATTCCGGCGCAGTTTACCAAGGACCGCCCCCCAATTGATTATACCCAAAGGACGTATGATATGAAACTGGAGGAACATGCAATCTGGCGCATATTCCCAAGTGTTGAAGACAATGATCGTATACAATCATTTGAAACCTTGCCTGTGACGACTGAGCTTACGCCGTCGGAGGGCGGTCCAAAAGTGATGGAATACTGGACTCACAGCGACAGAGCACAGGCAGGGTTGGACATTGCTAATTTTCAAGATGCGACATTGGTCACCATAACGGGGTTGCATACACTCACGGATGCCTTAGGACTCCATACGCTATTGGATGCATGGGTCGCAGTCCTAGAAGGAAGGGATGAAGACGTGCCAGAAGTCTGGGACTACGATGTTGACTACTTGAAGGATCTTGGCGCGCTTCCAGATGAGCATGAAGAAGATGAAAAGAAACAACCTTCGATCTGGACGGCAGTATCAAGCTTGAAGGACTGGATATCGAGGCTACCGAAGCTACCGAGCTTCAAGCTCATCCTTGCTATCCTTCACTGGCGCCTGTTCCAGACCCCCAAGCCCCAATGCGACCGCAAAATGTACATACCAGCGTCCTGCTTCGCCCGACTACGCAAAGAAGCCATGAACGATCTCGCCTCACTCGACCCTTCCGAAATAACCTACAGTACCTCTGCCCCTACCAAAACCACCCCGTTCCTCTCCGACGGCGACATCATCACCGCCTGGCTAGTCCGGCACCTCGTAACCTCCGACTTCGACCTGCCAAAGTACCCTCTCGACCGCCTAGTCTTCATTCTCAGCGTCCTCGGAATGCGCGACGTACTAAGCGAAGACACGGAAAAATACAAAGCCCTAATCCCAAAAGGCAAAGCCTACGTCGGAAACGCCACCGCTGGCCTCTACACGCACATTGCGCTAAAAGACTTTCTCGAGCTCCCCATAGGCCACATAGCCGCTAAGATCCGCAAAAGCATCGTCAACCAGAGCAGTCGCGAGGCGGTCGAAGCTACGCACCGCGCCCAGCGGCTCGGTCGCTTCGACCACGTGCTGCCGCCGGGTACGACGATGATTCCCAAGATAATCATCATGACTAACTGGAACAAGGCGAAGTTTTTTGAAACGGACTTTTCGGCTGCCTTGGTACACGGTGCGAGTGAGGCGGGCAAGGAAGGGGGTAAGAGAGGGAGACCGTCGTATTATCATACTAGAGGGATATTTAAACACCAGAGTGACTGGGTGTCTTTGGCGCACTTGACGAATATAGTGGGGAAGGATGCGAAGGGTGGTTATTGGCTTAATTCGACGATGGCGAAGGAGTCGGAGGAGAAGTTTTTGAAGAGTATTGCGAATGCGTGAAGGAGATATCTTGGAGCAGGCCAGATGATCTTGGTTACAGTCCGGAATTGATTTCATAATGCAGTCGTTTTTGTTTTGTTTTCTGAAATAGAGGAAGCTGAGATCTACCAATCAAAGTTTGAGTAAACAACATGTTGGCTCTTCCACTCGATACAATGTCAATGTTCGTGTTTTAGTCGTCTCTAACTCCCAATGCATACTGTGCTAGGTCCAGCTCTCGCACAGTCGCTCCATCAATGCAGAATACGACTTTCCCAACTCTCGGCGAAGCTTCTTTATTCTCTTTCCATTCTTGAAACCAGATTTGAACGTATTCCTGCACATCTTCGAGAAAATATTTTGCTCTTTCGACATTGGCGGGGTAAAGTTGTTTGAAGTAGAGGTGGGCAAGGCCATCGATTATTCTCACGGGCACTTCTGATTCACCTAGGAGTCTGTTCCCGTCTCTATAGATACTCGTGTCGACATGGAATGCTAGCGTATTGGTCTTGAATATGAAAGGGCTTCCTATTGGTTCGCCAGAAAAGGGCTGTTCCATGAATTCGGAGAACGTGTTGACGATGGAAGTGCCGGTGTTTCCGTTACCAACAAGGTTGTTCAGCGGATTCAGTGCTCGCCAGTTCAAGTACCTTGTAGCTGGCAAGCAGTCCTTATCTATACTCTTGCAAGCACCTGCTACGGAGTCCGTATTCCATTCATCTCGTAGTGAGCGTTCGTGTTCAGTGCAGCAAAGAATGAAATGGACATCGATTCGGTCAAAGGCGCCGTCTTTCCGCACGGACAGATTTCGCCACGTGGGCCAAATCCAATGGTCGTCAACGATTGCGACGTCGAGGTCGAGAGTTTGCAGCTTCTTTGAGAGATAAATTCGAGTTTCCAGGTAGAGTTTCCGACTCGTGAGCAAGAGATTAAGTGCAGGGTGTCGTTCGTCGAGTTTCAGTTTAGGGACGCAATATATGTTTCTAGGGAACAGGCCTGTGTCTCCCACCGGACGGTAGCGTTTGCTACCCTCTGGCCAGTGGATAGAAGTGACTATGAGATCGATAATCTCGAAGAGAAGTTCACTCGGTAAATTTGATAGTCTCGCCATAGCTGTGTGGAGCGTCATGACGCTCTTCGATGAAGGATGTTCGCCTGTTTTGGGCTGCGCCCTAGTGGTACTACTAGTAGGTACTAGTAGGAGCATGATGTAATTACCCCACTAACCTTTTGCCTAGTCCCCTTACACCAGCTGTTGTTGTTTCTTCTCTCACACGAGTACAATCGGCCCTACTATGACTTCGCCTCTTGCGGCTGCAAGCATTTGAGACATGCTCGATCCATAATTGTGGCGCATGCTCCCGTTGCGGTTAGCGTGGATGACTCATTATATCTCACTGATGCATGAGCTCCAGGCACAGCTCCAGTCATACTTATTATTACCTCTTTTGGACACATGGTTTATGCTCTGAGTGGACTCGCATGGGTGGAGGTGTATTCTGGCTCAGCATAAGTATCATTCTATACTCATTGACATTCAACATCACCACCACTTTTTTCGTTCACGTGCACACGATACCCCTTCGCGATTTCTCTCTATTTTACATTTCTTTTCGCAATTATCCCAGCATTTTAAACAATGGCGTCTGCGGAGGAATTGACAGCACCCACACGTATTTCAACAACATCGTATGATACGGCCCTTTGCATTATACCGCCCAGGTCGCAATGCGGCTACGTGGATCAGTTGCGAGAGCTCTACGACAAGGCTTTTGGAAGATGGCCAGCACACGTCAATCTCATATACCCATTCGTAGCACCCGAGCAGCTTCCACAAGCGCAGAAACAAATCCAAGACTATCTTGCAACGCGCTTGGATCAACACAAACCAATCGATGTGGAACTAACCCAAGCCGGGTATTTCACACAAAAGAACAGGTGCACAATCTTCCTTAGCGAGGACAGAGCCAAGGACGATAGTGACGACTCAAATGCGACCCTTGAATCACTACGGAAATTGGCGCTGGAAGCTATAGGACAGCCTCCTCCTCGATCTACCTTGCATCTTACTCTTGGCCAATCTGAGGACAATACAGTCTTCGCACGGGAATATCTCTTGGACAAAGCCAAACTAATACCACACCTACGATTTAGCGTTGGATCGCTTGCTATCCTAGTACGTGAACGAACGACTGGTTCCGATTCGACAGATTGCATGCGCCTTTTCTCTACCATTGACATCTGCTCCTCTGATGTCGTCCCAAGGCCCGACAGCCCTAATTACTGGGTGCGGAGCCTTCCTTCGAAAGCTGAGGACACTCAAGATGAAATAGTTCAACAGGAGCCCAGTCAAGGAGTGCAGCCAGGATCGACATACTACTTTGATGAAGATGAATACAAATGGTCGATTTACACTGCTGAGGAGCATGAAGAAATCGAGGTGGAGACGCTCACAGTCGCGAGCTACAACGTCCTAATCGATAGCGAGTACCCCCCAACACATGATCGCGATTCTTTGCTCGTCGTTAACATCCTCTCGGATCCCGCAATGGCCGATGTCTTAGTGCTGCAAGAGATGTCGGATGACTTCCTATCCTACATGCTCGGCGACAGCGAAATTCAGCGAAGATATCCTTTCGTTTCCCACGGACCACCCGAACAACCGGACATTGGACCGCTACCTAGTTTGCGAAACATTGTTGTTCTGAGCCGTTATCCGTTTTCGTGGAAGGCAGTACCATTTTATCGAAAGCACAAGGGCGCCATTGTCGCACAGTTTCGAGGGTTGGCCACATCTGGTTCGTCGGGCTCGGAAGGTTTGGTAGTCGCCAGTGTCCACTTGACCGCTGGCCTTACTGATGGCTCGACTGCAACTAAACGAGCTCAGATGAAAACCCTCATCAGCCATTTGGAGCAAAACTATGCGAATGAGCCATGGATCATTGCAGGCGACTTCAACATTGTCACCTCAACTTACACCATTGAGACCGCTTGTAAGAACAAGTCCATCACCGAAGAGACCGCGAACACACTCTCTTCTATAGAGACTTCGATTAGTGATGCTGGTTTGTTCGATGCCTGGGCTGTTGCCAGAATTGAAGGAACGGACCAGACAAGCACTACTGACCTGGGAGAGCTATACGAAGGCGAAGAATCTGCGACGTTTGATCCACAAAACAACAGGCTTGCTGCCGGAACCACCACCACTTCACACGATCGCCCACAACGCTACGACCGGATACTGATTCGCCCAAACAACACTCTTCATGTGATCCGGTTCAATCAATTTGGTCGGCCTGAGACTATTGATGGTGTGCAAGTAGTCGCTAGTGATCACTATGGAGTGAGAGCAAGATTAAAGATTGGGCATGGTGGAACGATCGACAGTGCAATGGATGCCGACTCCAGCAACCAACCCTCGGTCCAACTGAAACGCGCAATCGCGACCTTGACGGAGTCTTCAGACATTTCTTCAGCACTTGAGGTCCATGGTATGATTCCCAACGATGAGCAAACAGCACAGCGACAAGAAGCATTTGCGCTCCTCCAGCGAATTGTCTTGGACACTAGTGAAGATGCAGAGACTGGACAGTCTGGTATTCCACTAGTCATAGTACCAGTTGGCTCGTATGCTCTGGGTGTTTGGACATCCGGTTCAGACATTGACTGTCTTTGCATTGGCTCCATCAGCTCAAAGACATTCTTCAAGCTTGCTCGACAACGCCTCGTTAAGGCCGGAAATCCTCAAGTGCGCATTCTGAGAAAGGTTGAAGCTGCTACTGGTACTATGCTCGAACTTTCAGTCAATGGCATCCTGATGGACTTGCAGTATTGCCCTGCAGCGCAAGTAGTAGAAAGGTAAGTCCTTACTTTGAATCGTTCCTATTAACAGTACTGACGTGTTTTGCATAGGTGGTCCGAATTTGCAGAAATCCCCGCATCCGACCCCATCTTCAACCTTTCTATGCTCTCGCTTCGCAAATTGAAACCCTACCGCGACCTGCTATACCTCCAACGTACAATTCCGTCGCGATCTATCTTCCGCCAGGCTTACCGATTAATCAAGCTGTGGGCTGTTCAGCGCGGTCTCTACGCTGCAAAATTTGGTTATCTGGGCGGGATGCACATCACGCTCCTGCTCTCCTGGGTTTGCAAGAGTCTAGCACATGACGTTGGCTCAGTAAGTGTGGCAGACATAGTCGTGAGCTTTTTCCAACACTACGCAAACTTTGACTGGTCAAATGATATGGTGTACGATGCGTTCTTCCACAAGAAGAAGCCGCGATATAACCGCAGTGCAAGAGAGCCCATGGTTGTTCTCAGCTTCCATGCACCCAACTCTAATTTCGCAAACAAATCCACGGTTCCGGGTTTGCAGATGTTGATCAAGGAGTTCAAGGCTGCCGATATGAAGCTAAGCGAGCCTGGTATGACCTGGCAAAAGTTCTTCGGCACATCATCAGATCTGGCCTCAGAACCTCATCTTCCTTTTGGGGCTGTTGAGTTTCTAAACGCTTACAATGACTTTGTCAAAATTGATGTTCAGTTCTGGGGTCGTATGCTTGCAAAGGGCAAGAGTTTGGTTGGCTGGGTTGAGTCGCGATGCATATCTATCGTCGTTGGTAAGTACTCTCAGACCCGAAATAATACTTGGACGATCTGACTGATCATGCAGACATCCACAAAGCTCTTCCAGGATCAGAAGTACGGGTCTGGCCAGCTCTATTCACAGATGATGCTCCCGATAACTCGACCGACAGCAACGACTTTCAGGGATGTTACTTGATTGGCCTGTCGAAAGCCGCAGAGGGTAGCTCGACTGGCGGGCCAGAAGACAAACAAGAGGCCAGAAGATCATTAGAAAAAGCGCTTGATCGCTTCCTGACCCAGCTCCGAACCGATGAGAAGAACTACGACTCAAACACCTGCTGGATTGATGCATCGCTAGTGAAGAGGCGTGATGTCAAGGCTCTACAGCTAGATGAGCGAGAATGGGGACACTACGTCATGTGTATGGACTCCGATTCAGAAGACGAAGAAGAGCTTGACGAAGAGCTCGAGGACGCCGATGAGGCCAAGCCGCAGCGTGCAATCCCGCAACGTCCAAAGCCCACCTCGACACCCTTATCAAGTTCAAAACTCCGTCCCGCCTCCGATGTTCTTAACCGATTACGCTGGGACCCAAGTCTTGATCCCGGCGACTACATTATCGGATATGAAGACCGATTTCTTGGTGCGAAAGAGACGGGCCTTGAGAAGTGGAAGACGGAGCAGACGGATGAGGAGTTTATTCCTCAGCATAGGATTCTTTATTTCAAGAAGAAGACCGAAGATGGTGGAGCAGAGATTGTGTGGGAGAGAGCGACGAGGATTGACAAGGTTTTTGGGAGTGGACTTGGGACTGGGAAGTGATTAGAAGTTTTCACCAGAAGGGTCAGTGAGTGGTGGTTACCATTATCTGGAAAAGCTTCGTCTTTTCACTCAGAGTTGAATACGGGTAGAGAAATACGCAATCATTCCATTTTTGCTATTCCAAGTAACACAAGAGACTAGAGCCAGGATCCAAAGCAAATATTACTAAGAGCGTATGCAGTAACGAGCGCTACATACAATCCGCGTGGCTGGATTTGGAGGGTAATAAAGTCAATGTACACATCCCAAAAAGACGGCACGTCCCACTAAAGAGGAATACCCCGAATAGCCATGACTCTTGGACGCCACATACGAACTAGCCTCAGGCACCTCACACTTCATTACGTAAGTAGCCTCCGGAACCCACGGATACCATTTGGAAATCCGGGGAAACCCAATCCAACCTCACCCACTTCAATTGGACAAACTAAAAACCAAGTCACCAAGCTCGCCCTCAAAAAAAAAGGTCTTTACCCACAATCAAAACACCAACCCCAAGCCTTTGTCAAAAAAAGAAGCATAGATCCAACCCCATTTCCTCCCCCAAAACCCCTCGCAAATCCTCTCCTCCTCCTGCCCCCGGAATGCATCCCGCCCCTCCCACACCCCGCGCACCCCCCAGAAGCAGCACGGCGCCTCCAAAGCGCCACGGAGAATTTAAGCCAAAGAGGGAAAAACAAAAAATGACAATAGCAAGGCTAGTAACTAGTCTAATAAACCCTGCTTACTTACCCCACATTCTAATCTCCTCTCTCTCTCTTTCTCTCCCCACATACACACACTCACACATGCCTAACTGCGTACATATGTACTTTACTTGCTACCTCTCACACGCCCCAAGCAAAGTATGCAAAGGGCGCAAAGTACGCAAAAAGTTGAAATTAAATAAATAAAGAAATAAAAAATAGATTCAATGTCATTCGTGTGTGTGTGTGTGTGTGTGTGTGTGTGTAATTTCCAAGCCGTTTTTACAAAGTACTTTATCTGGCGTTTTGCGGCACGGGTCAAGGCTTTGACTTTTATTATTATTATTATTATCACGTCATATATGTAGTTTTATCTGCCGTTCTCGGGCGTAGTACCGTTTGCAAGGAAGGGGGCGATGCGGTTGAAGGGGTGCCATATGGACGGGGTGCCATTTTTCTTTCAATTTTTTTTTCGATTGATGCTGGCTTGGGAGAAGGGAGAAGAGGAAGAGGGATTGGTTGGAGAAGGAAGGAGGGAGAGAAAAGTGGTGGTGGGGTCGGGCCGAAAGCGGGTTGGCGACGAGGTGTGTTTCGCAGGGGTTTCGGGGGCCGCGGTTGGGGGGGTGGAGGATGGAGGGGGGAGACGGAATGCATGGGATTGAAGTCGTAGGTGTGTTTTGTTTGCTTGTAACGTGTTGGGTTGGTACACATGTGTATACGGGTTGTAGGTGGGAAAAGTGACAGCGGTGGATGATACTGCATTAAGGAAACGGTCATGATTCAAGACTCAAAGAGACGGAGAGAGAAAGAGTGGGGGTGGGGAGGAAACAACGTGTTCTATTTACGAACATGTGTTGAACACCTATCTAACTTGTAGCAACTATATCCATATGTCATATATGACCATTGAAAAAAAATGAAAAAAACGCCACAGTTTGGTTCCCTCCGGATCTACTACTCAAGCGGAAGGAAGGCAAGAGTAAAACCATAAATCTATACATTCCAAAGTACATTCCTCTGATCCCTTGCATTGACCCAGACATACTCTGTACACCTCGGATTCGACTTTGTCTTGCCGAGCGTAACAGCGAAAAGATTGATTTCCATCCACACGGGGCGCATGCCCATGCGCTCCAGACGCTCCCACCAGCTGCGGAAGCGCCCGAAATCGATACTGCCACCTCCAACTTGGTTGTCAGTGGAAACACCATCTCCCAAGTGCAACTCAATCATGACCTGGCCGATTGGCAGCACCGACTTTCCAGATGCGGATTTCACATTGTCGAAAGCGTCCATCATGGTATCTAGCGCATCGTACTCACTACCCTCGACATCGATTTTCAAAATGTCAATGTAGGTGTGGTTGTTCTGCTTCATGAGGGAGGGGAGAGTCCAGAATGGGGGGCTAGCATCATGCGCGTCTTCCTTTCCGAGTCCGACCTTTTTGAAAAAAGTGCGGTGGCGGTGTTTCGGGGCAATTTGCGGGCCCCAGGCGTCGACGGAGAAGTCGTAGCCCCAGATGCGGGCGCTGGGCACGCGCTCGAGCATTTCTGCTTCGAATGAGGATTCGCCGTTGATGCCGAAACTGTACATTACGAGGCCGTCCTGGGCGTTGGAGAGGGATGACTCGTCGGATGCGGAGGTCTTGACTGCGGGAAGTCCTTCGTAGACGCTCATGCCGCAGACCCATTTTCCGCCGTCGCCCATGCGGCCTACGCGCTGGATGTCATGGGGACAGGTCCAGGTTGGGGGGAAAAAGTCCCAGATAGTGAATGGATATTTCAAAAAGTCCATTGGGAAGAAGGGGATCTTTGGGTTATCCGGGTGGGATTTTGCCATTTGCTCGCGCTGGTCGAGACTCGCTTTCCACGATTTCTCGGAGAGAGCGGATCGGTCTTTTATCCATGCTCGAAGGAGTGAGGAGGATTGCGATGAGCCTGTTGAGGGGAGGACAGGCAGGTAAGGAAGGAGAGCCGTGCCAGCGGATTCTTCGTTGTGGAAAATAACAATCAGGAAGACGACGACGAATATGCCCGCGAATATACGTGCTGGCGGTCAATGTTAGAAGGAGGGGGGGACTTGACAAGAAGCATTGCAAAGCAACATGTGACATACCTCCAAAAGACCTTAACATTGTGGCTGTTGTACAAAAAACAAAGAACGATGTCCAAATATCTAGATGAGAGAGACAAAGAACAATCGTGTTATGTACATAAACCTCCGAGTTGAATCGATGGAGGTTCTATTCGCGTCAAGCGTACGTGGGGGTAGTGACGGGAAGGAGCGGAGAAGGGTGAGGAGTTTGTAGGTGAATGTAGGGGAAAAGGAAAGAGCAAAAGAGTAAGAAAGAAAGGAAAAAAGACAGAGAGAGAGAGAGAGAGAGAGAGAAAGAGATGATGATGAAGGAGAAAAAAAAAAGGCAAGGTTAGAGCCAAATTGGCCCGAGAGCCCGCCTCGCATGCAGATGTTATCATGGTCAAACAGGGCGTCCTCTCAATCTGTCTGGATTCCCTGACATGGATCGCCGTGTATGGGACACGTGCCAAGCATTGCCGCCGAAACAGCCAACAGCGGGACCCAAGCTGGCAACGAGTGTTACGCGTACATTGGACTCGCCAAGCACTGACCTTCATATCAAAAGACACTTGGTCGGCCTGTCTCTTTGACCACCCCGGTTCCAGTCGGACGATGGTCACTCTGTGCTGATGGAGCGAGCAAGACGACAGCCAGCATTAGGCGCGCCCCCTGCTGACCATGACTGGGTCCTTGGACATACGAGCTGACTGCGGAGTAACAGCTACATACGGCCACACCTGCACCATTGGATCATGGGGCACCGACACTGGCTTCGCGCGCAAACTAACATGATGGCGGCTCGACTAGGCGCGGGAGACGTTTTGCGATGGCCATGGTGGTAGGCGGGCAGTCGTGTGTACCAGGAGTGCGTCTTCTTGGCCATCAGCCGCCACCAGCGTCGTTTCACCCTTAGCTGGGCACTCGGCCTCCCTGAACATGCTTCCACGCTGGCGGGCCACCAAGAGGCCCCATCGCACAGACCTCAAGATTGCGCATACAAGTCTGGTTCCAAGTCGTGTAGGGTATACAAACGCGACAGCTGACAATGATATCATATGATCTACCTTGCTGCTTCTATCTACATGTGCATACTTACGTACCCAACCGATTGCCATGACCAAACAAAAGCAAACCAAGTGGGTATTGTACATGGTGATGTGCATCTACGGTGCTATTTACAGAAAGCAACCATACTTAGTAATAACAACAAAATAGTCTTTACATAGCCTCGGCGCTAGATGGTAGAGCTGACATATCACCAAAGTTCTAAAGATCGAGAGTTTGTGCGCCATCCCCTACGAGTGCATTGTGCCTAGAGTTTCACGAGCATAACAAAAAGAAATCAGGCCAGCGTCTTGTGGACAAACACGGCAGCCACAATGAGCAGGACACTACATGTAGTGAATACTGTGTCGCGATGCGCCTCGCCTAGATGCACGTATTAGCTTTTGTGCTCATCTTGGACAGCCGTGGGAACAATGCATACCTTCTTTTGTGGTGCTGAGCGCTAGCACGACAAAGACGTTGAGCGGAATGCGAAGAATACCGTAAATGCTGGCTCGTGACCCATCTTCAATGAGCTTGCTCTTGAGCGAGCCCATGGCCGGGTAGTAGATTCCGCAGCAGAGCTCAAAGATGCAGAAGCACCATAGTGTAAGGCGTTCGTCACGGAAGTGCCCAGGGATAAAGAAACAGACAGAAGAAATGGCGAGAATGCCAATGAGCATCTTCTGCGCAGGTACTGGGTTTGCCGATGTGGAGACATGTTTGTGGAGGAGAGAGCCAAGCATCATGGAGCACATGAGGATGGCGAAAATGAGACCGAAAGGCAGCTCTGCTTCGTGTCAGATGCACAGATTCAGAGATGGTGGCGTTAGAGGGCTGCTTACCGTCTGTCGAGCCGGATAATTGGTGGCTGAGCTTCAATGCAGGGAATTTGAAAAAGATGAATAGGAAAAGCGATCCTTCAAAGAAACCCGATACCAGCGCGAGAATCATAATGTTGCGGTCACGGAGAATTGTTCGCAGAGCAGAGGTTGAGGAAGGCGCCGGCGCCGCCTCTTCTTGCTGAAGAAGACCTTCGGTTTCAGATGCCCGTCGGTTGCTGGATCCATAGTTCTCGCCCCAGTACGACGAGATGGCTAGGAAGGACAGGGCCAGGCACGCAATCGAAGCCATGAACGGCGTCTTGGCAGTGCCCGTTTTGGTGACGGCCCATTCAGCGAAGATGCCAGAGGCAATGGCAACCAGAGTGTTGGAAGTGGTCATGGTGCTGAAGATGGCACTCAAGTGAGGCTCACCATCTTGCAGCATAAGTTGGTTGAACTCGGCGACGAGCCAGCTCTCGAAGACGCTCCAGAGGATCGTTCCGCAAAGACCGCCGAGTATACGACCAAAGAATAGAATGTAGATGTTGTTGGTAAGGAGCGTGGCACACGAGAGGGAGTAGATGGCGCAGTATCCAAGACAGGCCGTCTTTCGGCCATAACGGTCTGCGAGTCCGCCTACAAAGGATGCGGAGATGCCGGCGGAGATGAAGCCTGTGAGGAAGAGGAAGGCGACTGTTTCTTCGGGGAGTCCTTTCTCATCTGCAAAGACATGTGAGTACGCAAGGGAGGAGGGGCTATTCATTCACGTGCGTGTACCTTTGTAGATGGGATAGATGTAGGGTCCTTGAAGCCAATCCGCAGCGTTGACGAGCAGATAGATTGGGAAGAAGCGCTTCTTCAGCTTGGCCAAGCCGTCCATATCGGGCTCGTGGGATTCCAGTCCATCTTTCTTGTCCGAGACGGCCGCCTCGGTGGTTGCTTTGCGGGAGCGGTGGGTTTGGTAGAATGCAAAGAGATTCAGCAATACGGAACCCGCAAAGGTAGCTCGGTAGAGGTCCATGTTGAATGTGGACTTGCAGTGTTGAAAAGAGCGAAATTGAATTGGTAAGACGATAAGAAAGGTATGTACAGTGAGTGAATGGCCAGCAAACACCGAAGGGAAGCAGGACAGAAGACGAGTGGATGAGGTCAGATGGCGCTAAGTGGTGATTGGACACGTGTGGGCGGAAAGGGTTAGCCTCGATGGCTCGGAGGAGCAGCTGGGAGCAATACACTTGACACGGGATGCGAGTCTGATGTTAAGTGCCGCCTCACAAGCCGTTTGGCGCACCAGGATAAGGCCTGATTGAGATCAGCCAAGCTGGACTGTGCCATAAATGGAGCTGGGCGGACTGGTGTGCTTCAAGTCGACATGCGGGCTGACGGTAGACTTGGCCGGATTGCGCGTCAAAAAGTGGGCGGCGCGCGCCTGCACGTTTCCAAGCTGTGGGGCCCACGCCAAGTACGCTTCGGAAGGCGAGTGGCCCCGGGGCCGTGCGCGCCTTCTGTCTGTGTCTAACACCTGCACTAACTACTTAGTTGTATGTGTACGCGGGGTGTGCGGCGGCCCCTCGCACTTGTAAGGCCCCCGCCGCCTTGGTGCCTGTTTCGAATCTGGGAGCCTCAGGAATTAATAGCTTTTGTCTCTGTAAGTATACCAGACCATGGTGCGAATGCTGAGCCGGCTGGCATGCACATGGTCTGCCTGAGCAGAGTGCGAGGCAGTCAACACAGGCCATCTCCATGCTCCGTGTAGCCGTCGCTTCACATCAAGCAGTGCGGCTGACTACGCTGACGACAGGCTGGTCGAGATGATGAAGCGGGAATCCAACAACATGCGAGTTACCAGTAGTGCCATGCAAGTAATCGACATCACAGCAATCAAGGCCGTGTTGATGATACCAGAAACACATGTAACGACTCGATGCCATTTGCTACATCTCCAGCTATAGCCATGTCACCATACCCATGTGTGCAGCATGTGTAGTTCACATGTCATGCGTATTCTGTTTCGCTATCGTGGTTTCGCATCGCCGACTCCGAGTATAGCATCAATGCATATGAGCTTTTGGATGGCAGCGATGGCTGGCATGGCGAGATGATGGGTTTTCTGGTCGTCTACTGCAGTCATGGTGTTGAGAAGCCATTCCTTCCATGGGTAACAAATCCACACCAGACACGCCAAGCCATGACGTAACAGCTGCACTAGCGGCACCTGTCATGCCCCGTCCTTCTGTACTGTGTACTACACAAGTCAACGCTATCTACCTTTGGAAACATGGACTTCTAAAATCGGCCTTGTCTCTCCCATACCCATGCCAGGTTCTGTTACAGCCTCGGAACAGTAAGCACCCAAATCCCTTCATGGGTACGAACGATACCATTCCCGTCCGGCTCACCATCTTGAACTCGCATGTCTTCTCTGTTCCCCCCCTCCATTCATTGAGCCATCAGATTCCACACAAACCCTAGTCGTGAATCGGCACCGAAGTAAAATGGAGTTTGTTCGGAATGACAGGGCATCAACTACCGGTAGGCTAAGTAGTCAGTCATCATCAAGATTAGTAGCTTCTACATTCAGTGTATACGAATCCCATAAGCACTCAAAACTGACAGCAAACATCAATCAACCCCCGGTTACTTGAACAGTTGTAATTGGGTGGTGTATCTGGTAATGTTTCCTTGGGCGCTGCCCATGAAGGTGCACATAATCATCGCACAAGTATATTCTGTCCATACACCTACTCCCCTTGTCCATTGGAGATTTCGCATCACAGGCGATCCCCGCTCTTGCGCAGGCGTACCGTCGCTCTAACCTCCCGATGTAGCGCACGGAGCCTTGTTGCTCAGAATGCATGAGTTCTGCTCTATCTCGGCGATCTTCTTCAGGCACTTCTGGCATGCCAGAGCCTCGCATCCAGGACACCTGCTGCAGCCGACACGGGCTTCCATGCAGAACACGCAGTGATCTGCACCACCGGGCTGCACTTTCCACGTCGCACTCCGATATCTGCAAGGGCGCAGCACACACTCGTGCGACATTTTGACCAAAAGACCGTGTTGCAGACCGCCTTGACCAGGGCTTGGAGGCCTACTCTCATCGACACTGAAAGAAGAATTAGTAACAGCGCTCAACAAAGTCACTTGGGTTGCAGTCAACTTACGGAGGCTCGCACTCGGGATGCCTGGCATAGTAACTGGCCGACAGCTGTTTCCATTTCTGGTACGCGGCGCTATTCAGATATTTCCATCCAGGATCACCAGGCTTCTTGAAGGGCTTCTTCGGTGGAGGACTGGCTCTACGAGCCCTCTCTCGCATCTCAGCTTCGTACTGGTAAGTGCGAGTGTTACCAAAAGGTTGTTCGTCAGTGCTCGGAGCGGGAGGGTCAATGTGGAGCTTCTTACGCCAGTAGGTCCTATCGTACTCCTTGCGGAACTCAGTATTCGTTAGCCTGTCAAAGGCTTCGCGCGCAGCACGAAAGAGGGTCGAATCGCTAATTCCAGACCCATCGGGATGATACTTGATAGCCAAGGCATGAAAGGCAGACCTGATCGCATTGGGTGAGGCACCGAGCTGCAGTCCTAGGGTAGCATAGTAATCCTCGAATCCCTCTGGTTCCATGTTTGTAAACTTCTCCTTTCTGTTGGTTGTGCAACTGAAGTGAAGGAAAATGCTTTTTAGATTAGAGAGACAAACACAGAAAAGTGGAGTACCTGGTGGAAGATGACCATTTAGGTAAGACATTTGCCCATTAAGAGTGAATGCCTGCCTAGGCAAAAACAGTCATAATGCCACACTTTTGACAAATGCGTCATTCTATTCTCGAATGAACATGTCGGAAAGGCAGGGCTAGATACGGCAGCGCCAAGTTTCATACAAATCTGCTCACGCACGGCGCGCAAATGATACATTTTCAGTCAAACAATAGCAAAGTGAAATTGAAAAAGTGAAATGGTGTAACGGAGCTAGGGTTAGGCATCATATGTGCAAACAGTCGCGCAGAGGCAAGGTCGAGGTAGTGCCATTGGCGAGTGATGCTGCCTGAAGAGAGTGATTGAACTTTCACTATAGCGTTTCAATGGGCTTACAGTTTCTGCTCTCTGATAAGCATATTTTGCAAACTGTAAGTGTTAAAGCAGCGATAATCGGAAGCTTACACCTCATTCTGTCCCTGAGCATCTTGCTTGATTCCTTTCGTTATCTTAACAGCAGTTCTAGGCTTTGTTGTTTTAGACGACCCACTGCGTTTGCTGGTCGTCTAGCTGCTTATCAAATCCAGTCCTTTCTGTAAGCAATCTGATTTGTGTACATAAGAAGCAGGTCAAGTCATGGTTGCGCCTCAGCCTCCGCATGGCCAAAGTACACCATGCGCCCAAATGCATCTTTTTGACCTCCTGTCAAAGCTGTACCCTGGATGCTTGGTAGATCCATGGTGAAACGCTACGTGTCGAAAATCACTACTTTCACGTGGCCACCATTATCCACGTTTTCCTTTACACGCAGAAGAGAGGACCATCGTGGCGCATGCCTGAGGCATTGTACCAATGACAACGATACACAACTACTACTTATCAAGAAGATGATGGTTCTGGAAAGAAAGTCGCGCATCACGAGGCGGGTCCACTCCCGATATGGTTTAGCCGGCGCGGGATTTAGCTTCAAACATTGCCTCACAATTCAAAGGGCTGCGGTGTGCCCGTACTTTCTCTTGCTACTTCATCGGCAACCCGCCTACTACCTTCAATCGTCACCGAGACTACATAGGCATTGCCATTGACCGGGTTCGATATCTTTCCCAAGTGCACTGGTCTTAGGGCGCTACGAGTCTGACAAACCGCAATACTTGCCCCACCCCCTTCGTATGCTGCATCCTCTATTTTGAGACCAATCAGGATTAGCCACCTTCGTCACACGCAAGTCCAATCATTTCTAGACGCGACCCGCTCAATTACGTGCCGTCTACCGACGTCTCTGTTACCATTACTGGAGGCTGACAGCAGCCTCCCATGTCAGGCCCAACTTCCAGCCCAGATTGGAATAAAAACGGTAGTCCCGCATACGGCACTTTCCCTCGAACATCACTACACCCCGACGCTACTACTAGCAACGATGACAATAACGAGAGTACTGTCGTTCTGTCGAGCAATGGAGACGAGGAGCTCTCGCCAACATCCAGACCATCCCCAAAGCGCGAGCCGTCACGGCACATTGAGTTCAGAAAGTACCTGAAGCGACCTTACCAGGAGACGCAGCGTACACTGAGCGATGCGTTGAGATTCGCAAAGAGTAGAGAAGAGCAGGAGACTTTGTTGCCTGAAGAAGACTATGCCGGGAGTGATGGATGTTTCAATGGCCAAGGCCAACCAACGGCTGCACCAACGCCCGGCACAAGTTCCATCAAGAGTCACCAGACGTACTTCAATATTCATCGGTGAGTTGGAGCGCTGTATAGGAATTTAAAATCCACCACTGATCGTGGAACAGAATACGAAGACTCGTTCTGGCTGTAATTGAGGACCCTTACACTGTGGACCAACTCCGAGAACCACGTATGAATGTCCTCATTGTAAAACCACTCGTCGACCGTCTTTACGATGAGGACGACATATCCATTGTCTACTGTTTGCTCGTGAACCGTATGCAGTTCTTGCGAGAGCAGCAGTTTCAGCAGCATCATCAGACCGTCGATCTTACACGTGCTAATCTATGCGAATTGGTCGCGATGAAAATCTTGCGGCGACATGACGAGGAGTCTACGGGAAAAGCCGGCCTGTTGCTGCTGGCGCAGATCTTAGTCGCGCCATTCCAACCTTTCCAAGGAGCCCCCGAGGAGCGGTGTCCACCACGACATGCCTCCGATTACCAGGGTCAAGGCGACAACGATGGCAAACTCACTGCTTTGGAGGTTGCCATTGTGTCTGAGAGTAAAGTACTACTCTCAGGTTCTGCTAGCCAGAAAGTCATTGACGCCATCTATCGAGGACGCATTGTATATACACCGACTACATTTATGGACATTATTCCAGACCACTACAAGTACAAGCCCATCTCGCTTTACGACCCAAGAAAGGCACCCGTACTGAACCAGTATCGGCTCATGGTACCAAGGACGCGCAACATGATCGAAGTCGTGCAGTTCCTCATACTATTGGCCTTGTATTGCTGGTGCATGTCAGCAAGAAAAGATCATTTCCTTACCTGGCCTGAGTTGATCTTCATGGTCTATGCTGCTGGCTGGGTGCTGGACGAGCTCACATCATGTCTCGAACATGGATGGGAAGTTCATACCCAGGAACTGTGGGCTTTTCTAGATGTTACTTTCTCTGCCATATTCATTGTCTATATCTGGATGCGATTCCACGGCTGGATAACAGGACAAGACGAGACTGGGCGACAAGCTCTCGATGTCCTTACCGTAGCCTCACCTATCCTCTTCCCACGAATTGCGTTTAATCTGATGCCAGATAATATGCTTTTTATTGCCCTACGAGCCATGGTCAAAGAGTTCACGGCATTGAGCCTCATCGCTGTGTGGTGTTTTGGTGGTTTCCTCTTGGCGCTCAAATGGCTGAGCATCAGCAACCCCGAGGTTGGGTATGAAGAATCACCAAACTCCATTACCATTTCCAAGTGGATGTTGTGGATCTGGTTCGGTCTCGACGGTACAGGAATAGACGAAGCGCCTGGCTTCCATGAGATCCTTGGCCCTACTCTCATGGTCGTCTACGCGTTTCTTGGTAACACCCTATTCCTAACCGTCTTGGTGTCGATCCTGTCAAATACCTTCTCCAAGATTGCAGCCGATGCGACAGCAGAGATTCAATTTCGTCGGGCTGTCTTGACCTTTGAAGGTGTCAAGTCAGACTCACTTTTTGCTTATCGCCCGCCCTTTAACCTTCTCGCCTTTGTAATACTTCTTCCGTTGAAGTTTATCCTCTCACCACGCTGGTTTCATAAGATTAACATAACAGCAATCCGAACCTTGAACTTCCCTATTCTTCTTTTCATCACATATTATGAGCGCCGGTCGCTCTGGAAACCCATTCGCCAACTCAACGTCAATGGCCCCGGACCCTCGAAACGCACCATGTTTGGATTCTGGCAGAGCTGGAAACAATTCAGCCCCCACGCTGATTTGCAGGCTGTTTTTGAGGAGGAGCCGCCCCAGGATGTGGTGACGCGGATCGAAGAGGAGGATGATCTTGAAGATGCCATTCTTGAGAATAGTTTTGCGCCGACGAATGCGGTCGGTACAAGGAGTGTTAGTCCCGGCAGTGCGATGACGGGAAGAAGGAGGAGATTGAGTAGTGTCTGGCCTGGACCCAACACATAGAGACAAGTGTCAGGTTGAGGGGTATAAGCACATGTATGAGGTTATGAGAGTGGAGCAAGATTGTGATTCGAGTGCTATTCAGGAGTTTTGGCATGTTTTGTTCGTGTATTCCAGAGTCATTAGGTTAGCGTTCCTTTATTGCATCAACTTTAAGCTGGGCTTGGTTTTCATAAACGCGTCCCTCTTTCCCTCTTGCTTTCTTGTATCTGATAGCTTTTGTTGTTACCCAAATTAGTAGATGGTGGGCATCCCCGCACTAACGCAAACAAGAGATCTCAGCACCATCCAAGACTCATCAAGCCATCACCATCACCCCCAGCATATCAGCACCGAAATTGCCTCATCTCAACGCGAATAATTCGAATCACTTAATGCTCTACTGACTCTTCTTTTTCTCAATTTCCTCACTCAATATCCGCGGCCTTGAAAATCCTTTCCATCAGTAAGCGCGGCCGTGACGGCACCGACCGCACTTTGTTTGTCCGACGGGGGAGCTCCAATATCTCCAACATTAAGGTCTCCACGGTAGGAGGACCCACAACAGCAGGACAAGAGGGCAGAGCCGCAGGATTGAATATATATTGTAGAGTCATCCAATTCCATAATTCCGCTTACCAGAAAACCAGTAGCAGGTAGTCCAACCCGCATACTTCGAGAACAAGCCTGCTACTTTCATCCACCCATTCTACTTTATTCCGGTCTGTATCCCAAGGCACGAAAGAAAGAACGAAAAAAAAAGCAAAATATCTCTTGGAAAAGATTGCTCGTCATAACCCACCATGTCCGAGCTATTCACTCTCCAAAACTACCCCCTCCCGTCTTCCTCGTCGCTCGCCGCCCAGTTCGTGGGCAAAACACTCAACGAGCTACCCACACCAGCCGTAGTGCTAGATCGAGCACTCATCAAGCGCAACTGCAATGCTATGCTGAATGTGTGCAAAGAGTTAGGTGTTGGGTTCCGTGCGCATGTCAAGAGTCATAAGACGGCGGAGCTGTCCAAGCTGCAAGTTGGAGAGGAAGGCGCTGCGAATTTCATTGTTAGTACGATTATCGAGGCGGAGAAATTGGCAGAGTTGGTGGTGAAGGAGCAGGGGAAGGGGAGGGATGCTAGTGTATGTTTGTTTCTCTCTCTGTTATATTCTATCCTTCATTATTTCTTTTGTTGGAGATGTTATGCGCAGCACAATGCTGTCTTGGGATATAGAGTTCTAGGTTTCTCCCGTTACCCAGCCCCTGATCTACACTGATCATTCTTGGATCAAGCGGAGAGGAATCATTTCACTGACGTCACCTGTGTAGATCCTCTACGGCGTACCAGTTCCACAATCAGGTATACCACGCCTGATAGCTCTGGCCGAGAAACTTAAGCCGCGATCTATTAACCTCATCATCGATAACCAGGATGCATTCCTTAAGCTCGCCCAGCGTCTTGCTGTGTCATCCAGTCAAGTCGAGTTGGGCATCTTTATCAAAATCGACACAGGCTACGAGCGTGCAGGCATCAAGACGTCATCTCCATCCTTCCCAACCCTCGTCTCAACGGTAGTTTCAAAGACGCAAGAAACAGGATCAAAGTGCTTCTTACAAGGTTTCTACAGCCACTTCGGCCACAGTTATGCTGGATCCTCTGAAGACGATGCAGCCAACGGGTTGATGGAAGAGCTAGTCGGGCTCGAGGCAGCAACTAAGGCGGTGCCGGCGAGTTTCGCTGGAAAACTGGTGCTGAGTGTTGGTGCGACGCCGACTGCCACAGCAGCCCAGAACATGCTTTCCAGCGCTTCCCCACGGGTTCGCGAGTTTCAGACTGTGCTTTCCCGGCTGCAAGCCCAGCACCTCGTCGAACTGCACGCAGGCGTGTACCCGCTGCTCGACTGCCAGCAAGTCGCTACACACGCGCGGCCACCCACGTCTTCGTCTGCTGAACCAAGACCAGCATTCCAGCCGCTCTCCAAGTCCAACATCGGCATCCGCATGCTGCTAGAGGTAACAAGCGTGTACAACGAGCGCGCCAAGCCCGAGGCACTCGTCTCCGCTGGCTCCCTCGCCATGGGTCGCGAGCCCTGCAAGTCGTACGCTGGCTGGGGCATCGTAACACCTGACCTGGGCAACTCATCCGCCCAGCACATCTACGACGAGCAGGCCGGCCGAACGGGCTGGGTAGTCGGGCGCATCAGCCAAGAGCATGGCATACTGACCTGGGAAGGCGACAAGGCCGCGTGTAATGAGCTGGTGATTGGGGACAAGGTCATGATTTGGCCGAACCACGCTTGCGTTGCTGGGGCAGGGTTTGGATGGTATCTTGTGGTTGATTCTGAGGAGGGCCGTGGTGAGACGGTAGTAGATGTTTGGGTCCGATGGCGGGGGTGGTAAGTGTGAATGTATCTAGGTAGTTACCTACTATAGAACTTGTGAAAAAAGTAAAGAAAAGAAGATGGAGCGAACCAATATTACGTCCTACTATTCGGAATATTTTCTAATATATGCCGCATGCCGCTCATGCGCAACCGTTTTTTGTTTTGCGCTTGGGTGCCTTCCTCCCGTGTAATCCCTGCATCTCTCGTGCCTGGTTAGTATGTCCTTGAGTAAGTACTATAGAACCACGGGCACAGACAACGGCCGACCAGATGGTGAGATATCAAGGGTCTTTTCTTTTTTTTTTCATCTCACGTGCAGCATGTGACAATAGTCCGTCATCTTACTTGCAACCCTATCCTTCCCAGGATTGCAATTCATAACGCCTCAGTCAGCAAAGTGCATGTTGCTTTGTAAACGGGTGGGGTTGCGCTTACCCTCAGGGAGAGAGAACGAAGGAGACCCTTGTTGTTGCCAGCGGCAAAGCTGCCCGTCTTATTTTTTTTTTAAACTACAAAACCAACATACGGTGTATGAAATGCCCTGCCTACCTAGCCAGACAGGCAGGTAGCTAAGTAGGCCCTTTACTTTACACACACACACACACTCACACACAACGTGTATGATGCCCTCCCCCCAAAGGTTTCATTTCCTATTTTCCTATTTTCCCTTCACCCTCGCATCCCCCATAACCCGAAACCCAACTCTATCCTCTCTCTCTCTCTCTCTCTCCCTCGAAATGAATCTCATCTCACGCCTTCTAGCGCGGTGAAATGTCAGAAAAAAAAACACACAGACACACACGGTTGCACGTTTTGCTAGCCACACCCTTGTTTATTACCCTCTCTCTTCCCTTTAACACCTTTTCCTCCCCCCCCCCC